GAGCTAGTGTGGTGTAGTGGTTAAGAGCATGGCACTGGGACTCAGGCAATCTGGGATGGCTATGGAGCCAACTGGGTGGCTTTGGGCCAGTCACAGACTCTCAGCCCAACCCACCTCACAGGGTTGTTGTTGTGGGGATAAGACAGAGGGGGAGAATGATGTAAGCTGCCTTGAGCCCTTTGTAGGAAAAAGGCAGGATATATATTGAAGGGGAAAAAAGTATTCAGCATAAGGCTTTAAACTCTTTGGGTATGTGGGGAAAATAACTTGCAATATAGATCACTAAACATGTATACTAATGGTGCGCTTGTTCTTTGAAGTGTAGGTGCTTATGTTGTCAAATCTGAAGAGAAGCTGTCCAAACTGAAATGTTGCATTGTAATTAATGCTCTTGAGCGTGTGTACACATTTAAGAACAATCCACCAAGTATTTTAATCTTAGGTTTTCAAAGTTGTTTCTGATGGGGAGGTAACTAAGATTAGAACAGCTCGAGGAAGCCTGAAATCCTAGACATAAATCCTAAATAGAATTGTCCCATTAAAGTTGGTGCAAATGTGTTTAGGTTCCTGAGGACAGAAAATAAGGAAAGTCAATTCTTGCAGAAGCTCGTGGATCATTAACTTATGTTCACTGTTACAAAAACAGGATGAAGAGGCTTTCGAAATGCCTTTGGTTTGCCCTGGCGCTTGCAATTTTGTGCCAATGTTGTTTGGTTTCCTCTGCTGAACCATCCATCCCAAAAACTGATCTGACCACCAAGAATCCTTCAAATGCAACCACAGCCAAGTCACACAGCAGCATTCCGGTGGCTGCCATTCCGCCTGTTTTCATTTTTCTCACCTTTGTGCCCCTCTCTTTGTGGACATAGCAAATCACCTTGTTTATCATATGAATCTTAAGTAAAATTCAGGAAAACCTAACAAATCCATGAGCCTTCCCATCCTCACTGTGCTTTCTAATAAGTGTGCATTTTGTCAGCTTGTCTACTGCTAGCATGGCTTACTGTTCAACCCAGGCTTGTTCTTTGTAACTTCTCGGAAGGAAAATCAAGTTATGGAGGCGCTTCTGCTGCTCAAGATACACCAAGACTTTCCCTTGGTTTCCCTCTGTAACACAAGCCAAGCTGATTGTCGATAATGGTGGCATACCCTTACCATATTTATACACATTTAAGCAAGTTGCTTTATTAATAATTCACTGCATAGCTAAAGAATAAGTGGACATGGACCGCACGCCATCTGGACCATCGAAACAAAGACAAGATGTTAAAGACTCAGGACAAAAGGAGACAACTCTGGAAAAGCAGCCAAAAGAGAGATCAAGAAGTTATGTTACATGCCTCATTTTGAAATGAAATTCACTTTATCATAAATGGAGATCTTAATAAATTATGCAATTCTGACAGACGCATCTCTCCCAAAGATTATTTTTCAGGTAGAAGTCTCTACTTGGGCTGCACTGTAAGCCCACTATTAAAGGAAAGCCAACTGCACGCTAAGTCCAGAGAAGTCAACACCACAGGATTGGCTTTTCTGAGTCCTTCATGCTCAGTCAGACGAGCGGCTTTGCCCTCAGCTGCCACCCGCCCATTTAACTGGGGACATTGCCTAGGAATGAACCCAGAACTTGAACTAAGGACTTCCTACAGGCCCTGCGGGGGCTTTGGGACTGCCCTGCAGTCCCTTCCCTTCCCTACCCAGCCACTCAGTCCCCTGACCGTGCCGCATCCGGGAGTATGGTGAGGTCCAATTCTAGAGGAGGGTTTGGCTATCCTGAAAGTTACAAGGAATCTATAACCTTGGCTCAGAAAGCAGAGTACACAATATGTACGTTATTTATTCTTTTATGTGGCCCAACCCTACTGGCTGGGTTTTTTTGGGAGGGGGTGGAGGGATTGTTTAGCTTCCCCTCTGTCCTTTCCCTGGCACGTTATTTCAAGTATGTTCTTCTCCCACTCCACAGCGACTAGAGGTCTGGAGCAAGTGCATCTGACATTGGGCAAGCAGGGCAGAATGGAGACCCCCCACTGCTCAACAGCCCCCCCGCCCCCCGGGCTGAGCTGGCAGAGGTGCTGCTGCTTGTGGTGCTGGGGTCCCGCAGACTGCTGGTCCTGGGGGACGCTGACATCCATGCTGAGAACACCTTACCTGGGGCAGGTCAGGATTGCACTGGGAATCCTGGGTGACATACAACTGGCCAACTCATGTGCCAGGGCCCACCAAAGATCTGGCTCCTTGCGTCCCCCATCATCGGGACAGGGATCTGAAGGTGGGGGTGGCCAGCTGAGATTTACACTAACAGCAAACTTCCCCCTCTGCAAGGGTGTGGGCCTGCCTCCAGAGACCGACCGAACCAGACAGTTTCCAGGGGCCCTTGGGCCCTTGCTGACCGATAGGGCTGGCAGTTCTGCCTAAGCCCTGGCTGATCTCTGGAACACCGAAATAACCCCGTGGCTGCCTCAATCACTCCTGGATACAGTCTCCACAGCAGGGCCCCCAAAACAAACCCTGGAGTGGAGTGCAGCGAAGCAAAGCTGGAGGTGGCTTGAGGGCAGGCGAAGCCGGCCTCTGAATGGATGCCGGTGAGCCGGCCCGGTATGTACTTACAGGGTGGGAGCGGCGATGGGGGTCAAGGTTCATCTCTCAGGCTTTATCTGATTTCCCCTTTGCTGTGCAATTCAACCTCCGCCCCGACTTGGGTGTGTTTCTCAATACCACACAGTTCGGCACATGGTGCTCCTTGGCTTACGCACATGACAACAGCTCGTAGTCAAGAACATGCTTTCTTACGCATCTTACTTAGTCAAGCATATGTTTCAGCACATAGTACAGCGCCCACATACCTATCGAAAGTGACCGAAGTCTCTTCTCTTTCTTATATTTGCATACTACCATGAGCCACAGCTCCCTGGGCTTCATTAAAAAAAAAAAACCACAACACAGCAAAACACAGTATTAAAAACCAGAATGAAGCCCACCGTAAAGCACAAGATGAAAGCCAGCTGCAGTGCAAAGGTGCGAAAAAATGCACTGATTAAAAAGGTATTCACCCAGTGCCCAAAATGACTACAATGTCAATACCAGGTAAACCTCCTGGTGGGAGGATAACCGAAGTCAGTTGGTTACCAGCTGTGGGTCAGGATAGTGAAGATCCTAGTTGGTTAAGAGTTTATTATTTTATTTCTATACAGCCCAATGGCCAAAGTTCTCTGGACAGCTTACAGCTACATATTTATTTATTTATTATTTATTAAAACATTTTTATGCCGCCCCATTCGCCGAAGCCTCGGGGCGGCTTACAACAATAAATTAGAACCACATAAATAAAAATTAAAATATATACATTAGAATAATAATAATTTAAAATATATATATATGTCTATATGTGCCCTTCAGCGGTGATCAATTCACTCTCATGCTTCAATGTTGTAAGCCACCCTGAGGCTTCGGCAAGGGGCGGCACAGAAATGT